GTATAATACTATATTAATATTTTGCAATAGTGGCACCGCTAGAACGAGCGTTTAGCCCGCTACGATGAACATTATTCCCGATAGATAATTCGTATTCCAGAAAAATGTTAACCGTTTGATGGAGCTACTCAGTCACGGTGGATTAATAGCAGTCGCGACTAAATTACATGGATTCAATATTTTAATAGACGTCGTGTTCGACGGCTGCTTTTTCGCTTCCTTTCACGGCGACGGTGAAAAAGCGAATTAACCGACGGGTAATGAGAACCATTAGGGTCAACAAATAATAATGTATGTTAAGGTTTCATTGCGATGTTGCGGTCTTGTATTGCCGACCAGTTATTGATAACCTTCTCACGTCGATGAAGTTTGTTTCAATCGTCGAGTGTTCCAATTGGGCGCCGATTCTAAACATTTGAAACGAACGTCGCGCCAGCGTTGCCGATACGACAGGAGCCACGCGGTATTGCCGATACAACGGCAGCCGTGCGGTGTTGTCTGTACAATGACACTCATGCGGTGTTGCCGATACGATGGTACCCATGCAGTGTTGCCGATACAATGACAGTCATGCGGTGTTGCCGATACAATAGCAGCTATGCAATGTTGCCAGTACAACGGTAGACAATGCGGTGTTGCCGATAAAATAGCAGCTATGCAATGTTGCCAGTACAACGGTAGACAATGCGGTGTTGCCGATACAATAGCAGCTATGTAATGTTGCCAGTACAACGGTCGATAATGCGGTGTTGCCGATACAATAGCAGCTACGCGATCTTGCTGATACAATAGTAGAAACGCGGTGTTACCGATAGAATACTAGTCATGCGTTGTTGCCAATATAATGGTAGCTATGCAGTGTTGCCAATACAAAAGCAGCTTTACAATGTTACCGATACAATAGTAATAATGCGGTGTTGCCGATACAATGGTAGCCGTGCAGTGTTGTCGATATAATGGCAACTATACAATGTTTCCGATACAGCGGTAGCAATGCGGTGTTGCCGATACAACAGCAGCTATGGAATATTGGTACAATGGTAGGCAATGCGGTGTTGCCTGTACAATGGCATTCATGCGGTGTTGCCGATACGATAGTACCCATGCAGTGTTGCGGATACAATGGTTGGTAGCTATGCAGCGTTGCCGATGCAATAGCAGCTATGCGGTGTCGCCGATATAATGGCAGCCACGCAGTATTGCAGATACAATGATAGCCATGCAGTGTTGTCGATATCGTGGCATTATTAGATTAGGTTATGTCATTCCGAAAAACATAGTTTTACTTTCTTTAGAAATTTTGTATTCGGAAATGTCATCCGTTTCGTGTCATTTAAAAATATATATATATTAAATAAAAATATATTAATGTATAATGAATAAATAAAATTTTCTCTACTAGCTAGACAGACTTTCAGAATTGTCATTTTTTACAGAACACGGTGTCTCCAAAATGCCTTATAAGATGTCTCCGTCGCGCTGTAAGACGCGTCTTATCCTTTCCAGAGAGAATTATTATGACAAGGTTTATGGCTATACCGGAAACGGCTATTCGCCTTTCGATTTTCATCGTGCTCGTTCGAAGGCGACCTCGAAATCAAAATTCCGACGAATTAGTGTATCATTAGTGAATCTGTCTAGCATCATCAAAGAGAGGGGCGGGGAGGGGGAGGCAGTTTGAAAGGCGCAAACGAACGCCGGCGATTTCGTAACCGCATTATATGATACGCTACAAAGACCGCAGCGATAGCTTCTTCAGGAAATCTTGCGACCGATTACGCAACGGAGATTTTCGAATGCTCGATCGGAACGAGGATCGGAACGTTAGCCGGAGGACGGACCCGTCCCAAATACGTCGTTAGCCTTCTCGGTCCCGCCGTCTATTTAAATAACGTTGCAAAACTTTATTACGCGGCTATCCGAGATAGCCTGCGAGCGCCACTTTATGGTCCCGATAAATCTCCCGGAATTAGTGTTCTACGCACTGCTAAAGGTTATAGACTTAAGTATTAAATAATTATTGTGCCGTAAAGGGAGTGCGCGCGAAAGGGAAAGACGATTACGAAGGTCGACGACGTGCTGCGTTAGATTTCGGTGACCTTGAGATGTGTTGCCGAGGCTGTTAGGATTAAGAACTTTATTCTGGTCATGTTAGCGTCCTTAGTTTTCGAGATGTTCACTGTACCAGGGTTAGGTTAGGGCGAATCATTTTTTTGGACTTGTTTTCGAGTCCTTAGTTTTCGAGACGTTCACTGTACTAATGTTAGGTTAGGTCGAACAACTTTTTTCTGAAAATGTTAGAGTTCTTAGTATTCCAGATGTTCACTGTAGCAAGGTTAGGTTAGGACGAACAATTTTTTTGGACATGTTAGAGTCCTTATTTTTCGAGATATTCAGTGTATTAAAGTTAGGTTAGGACGTATAACTATTGCTGAACATGTTACTGTCCTTAGTTTTCGCGATATTCACTGTTCTAAAGTTAGATTAGAATGAACATTCTATTGGACATGTTCGAGGTTAGGTCTCGACCACATAGAGCGACCCATTGTAGTCACTAAAACCGAAGATGGCTCCCTCAAATTTCAAATTCACGAAATAAATTAAACGATACAATAAAACGTTTTGACTGGACTAAGATTAAAAATCCCCGAAATCTCTAAAAAAAACACTATAAAATGTTAATTTTGAAAATCCGGAAAGTATAATTCCTGGACAGTTGTAATCGACGGAAAAATTGCTGAGAATGAAACGGCGCGCGCCTGCGTTTAACTTGCAGTTTGCGGTCGATTGCGGTTTACCTGTTGCTAAGTAAGAGCCTGGGCGACCTGAAAAGTCGTGGCTGACCTCTGCACCTGCACATACGGATCACCGCGGACGAGTTCCCTCTGAAACGTCGCGGTGTTGCCCAATTGTGCGACGAAGAAGGACGGAGAAACAGGATTTTACTAATGCTTGACGCGTGTGCTTTTAATGCATCGCCACCGTTAATTAGCGACATCATAATTACGCAGGTATACACGAACTGCTCGTACAGTTGCCTCGAAAAATACACGCGGACACCTGCGCGATAATGTTCTCGAAAGTCGTCGTAAATAAACAATTTGTGTAATTTTGAGAAACGCGTGAGCGATTGGAAAAATATTCCAGAATGTGTCAGGGTGAATGAAAATTGGAAACCTTTCGCATCAACAGAGAGCAGCGTGTTTGAAGCATCGTTGAATCATTTTTAGCGGCGACTGTACACCTATTAAAGCGAGTTAGACGTTCTGGATGATCGGTAGCCAGCACTGAACGGTTTCGATCGGAACAAGAAAGCGTTGCGTACTTTGTGCAGAATAAAATGTTTCTGCAAAAATGTTACTGACAATTTAAACTTTCTTAGAAAATACGTAGAACAAATTATCATTTGAGATTACAAACTGTCCTGATTATACCGAGTTTTATGTATGTTACAAAAAGGTCACCATTCAAATTTTAACAAGTTGCTTTTCCGTCCTTGTATTTCTATGCATCATCTAATTATATCAATTAACATTTAAAGCATCAAATAACTTCTATACAAAGCAAAAATATTTTAGAGAGCATAATGATGTCCTTTGGATCATTTGAAACAATTTTTTCCTTTGCGAGAATCTTCTCCGAGGCTTCGTTAACGAGATATTAACGAAAAACGCGGACCAATTGCAAAGCGAGCGCAGCGGCCGCTCCGCCCTCGCGGCCAATGCCGCGTCCGCTGTACTAGCGCCCCGATTCGTCCGCGTTTTTCCTCAATAACTCGTAAACGAAGCCTCAAATGAACTTTTCGCAAAGGAAAAAGTTTCTTGAAATCGCCTCAGGAATCATTTCCCTCAGTTTTCGACACCAATTACGAGACACCTTGTATGTAAGAGGAATATCGCGGACGAGGCAGGTATTGCTAAATACTAAACGATATCGTTAATGTGAAAGGATAATGAAAAATGGTTATTACGCACGCGGGACGACACTGCAGAGATTCGAGGAATTTAGAAATCACAAGAGCAAGATCGTGGGACGAGATATTGACTATTCCGATGGTTTCAGGTGCGACACCCACGTGGCAATGACTTTTAACGGATACAGACGAGGTCGCAGACACCGGCGATCGCCACGGCTTTCGAGATACGTCTTCACAATGGCGCGCTGAGTCACAACAAATGAAAACCGACGATTTTTCCTCGGCCAAGTCGTAACAATGGCAACTGTTACCGACACGTTTGACGTTCATGCGGATAGATTTCTCTTGTTGCTACTATGTTGTTCAGTGTGCCTAATATGGTATTAGATCAACTGTGCTTTTATTTGAAAATGTGTTCGTATTTCGATGAATAAATTGTTAGTATTCAGAAAAATTCTAGATTTGTATTTTTATTTTTGGTGTTATTTTAGATAGGCAATTTTTATATTTAAATTTAGTACAAAACAAGAGTATTGAAATTTTGTGCAGTCGATTTTGTTGGAGATTAGTATCGTGATAAAATAGCAAAACAACAAAATAACGAAATAACAAAATAACAAAATTACAGAAATGACGAAATTACAAAATAACAAAATAAGAAAATTACAAAAATAAGAAAAATAAAAATTACAAAAGAAAAATTAAAGTAACAAAAATAAGAAAAATTAAGATAACAAAAATATGAAAAATTGAAATAGCAGAAATAACAAAAATAAAACTTACAAAAATAACAAAAATAAAAATAGCAAAATTGTTATTTTGCACCGTTTTAAATTGCTATTGTCTCAGACGCGCCAACATAATTTTTAAATCAGAATCAGTGATTGGAAATAATTATCTCCCGTCTCGAATAAAAAATTTCCAGCTCTGACACCGTCCTCGCCAGTTGCCGCGTAGCTTTTAACGGACGGCTGTCGAAGCGGCCAATAAAACCCGCAAGAACACGGCGCGTCCATTAAAAAAGTCCAGCATTTATTAATTATCGGTTTGCACAACGTTCGTGGCAGTAAAAGAGTCCTTTGGATTCGATGAGTTTGAAAGTTGTTTTTATTGTTGCTTGCAATATATATCGCTACGATTACTTCACTGCTGGTTAAAAAGGATCAACGACGGATAAATGCGGTTAGCGTGGCTAGGGCAGGGGGCGTGGAGAGGGGAGTGGAATAGAAGTATTTTGGCATCGCCTCGGGTAGCGGTTAGAACGCGGGACGCGTTACGACGAGGCGCCGTGTTCCAATCGCTGCTAATGTTTATACGACGACAAAGGTCTGCGCTAGAAGATCATGCGAAACGAGAGCCTCCGTGACGGACCGCGTGTACAGTAGCCGAATCCAAAGGTTGGTCTGTGCGATTAGTAATAGCCACCGTAGTGGCCGTATCCAAGGCCGTAGCCATGATGGTGGAAGCCGCCTGGAGGGAGAAGAAGATTACGGTGTCAATTGAAGAACGTCGATGAATGCTTTGTTTACAGTCAATGACCGATGAACAACGTCGATGAACATTTTGTTTTGTTTATTCATTTCGAAATAATTATTTCAATCAAGGACAACTACAAATGAACGTGAAAATGATCATTGTAACGACAGCTTTCAAAAGTGAAATAATTTTGTGTTACACATATATTATTGTTTTATAAACAATTGTGCGGTGCGGATAGATTTTTTGAGAAATAAAGCAGTTTCAGAAATGTAGAAAGATTGATTTAGTAAGTATACAAAATATTCATTGACGTCGGAGCCAGCCCTGTCGCGCTCTAAATTCCCTTGCAATATTCCGCCTCTGCAATTTCCCACGAGTAAATGCATGGTATTGTCGCGATATCTACAAAAAGATTTTGTGCATTTTATGGGCACGAGAACACAATACAATCTCGCGGGATAAGCGGGTCTAACGTGTACATTGAGATATGCAAGGAATTTCATAATGTGCCAGAGTTACGTTACTTCCAGAAACGAGAGGTTCCTCGGTTCATTTGAAGTAACTTTTTCCTTTGCGAAATTGTTCTACGAGGTTTCGTTCGCGAGTTATTAAGGAAAAAGCAAGGACCAATGAGAAGCGAGCTCGCGAGGTGTGAGGCGGCCGCATCAATGGGCGGCCGAGGCCCAGTCTCGCTGATTGGCTCAGCCGCGAAACGCCAGCAGAGCGCGCCTCTCATTGGTCAATGTTTAACCGTAATTATGTCAACAGCCGGGAAGGGGAGATTCCTGAGGTCATTTGGAGCAACTTTTTCCTTTGCGAAATTGTTCTACGAGGCTTCGTTTACGAGTTATTAACGAAAAACAGTGACCAATCGGAGAGCGAGTGCGGTCGGCGCTCCGCCCTTGTGGCCAATGCCGCGTCGCGCCTGCCGTCTGACGTAGCGGCAGTGATCGCAAGGGCCGGGCCACCCGGGTCAGTCGCATCCGCCTCGCGTCAGCCGAGCGCGCCTCTCATTGGTCAACGTCTTTCGTTAATAACTCGTAAACGAAGCCTCGTAGAATATTCTCGCAAAGGAAAAAGTTGCTTCAAATGACTCGAGGAACCCCTCGGGAACCTCCGGAAATAACATAATTTTCAGACACTCTATATATACGTCATTGCTGCAGTGAATGGACTTTGACCATGATACATGAACGCTTAAGGGGTTAATGCGGTACCAGGGTATCTCTTACCGTAGCCGTGTCCGTAGCCGTGTCCATATCCACCGTAGAACGGGTACCTGTAGCCATAATGGTGAGGATATCCGTAGCCGCCACCGTAGCCGTATCCCAGGTATCCTGGTCTCGCAGACGCTACAGCGAAGATTACAGCCAGCAGCAGGACCGTGTACTGTGCAAACGGAAAAAGACAAATTTGTAGACCGAGAAAGAATGATAACGATGTGTAGAGATCGCAAGAGTGCGTAAGAATGGCAACAATGTATACAAGTGGCAACGATGTATGTAAATGGCAACAATGAATAAAAATGGCAAGAATGCGTATGACTGACAACGTTTTGTAAAAATGGCAACAATGTACAAGAATTGCAACAATGCATATGAATGGCAACAATGTGGAAAAAATAACAATAATGTATAAGAAGGACAACCGTGCATAAGAATGGCAAAGACAATGCAGATGAATTGCAACAAGTTTACAAGGTTAAAAACGACAGTTTAGAAACGACAATAATGTATAAGAATGGGAACATTGCATATGAATGGCAACAATGTGAAAAACTGACAATAATGTGTAAGAACGACAACAATGCATAAGAATGACAACAATGTATAAAAATGGCACGAGTGCGTATGAATGGCAACATTCTGTAAAAATGGCAACAATGCATAAGAATGGCAACATTGCATAAAAATGGCAAGAATGCATATGAACCGGCAACAACATGCAAAAACGGCAACAACTTGTAAAAATAGCAACTAATGTATAAGAATTGCAACAGTGCACGAGAATGGCAACAATGTATAAGAATGCATAAATGTGACAACGACGACAACAATGATAACAACTAAAGCAATGATAATTGATAAGAAAAATTTATGAGCTGTTCGAAGAAATTCGTGTCAATTTTGTTGAATGAGGTTCAGACGTTTCTAAACATTTTTACAATTGTTAAAAACAAATGTCTGGTGTTCATATTTAGGAAAAATTGATATATTATATAAATTGTTACATTGAAATATAAAAGCGTTGCCCTGAATTTTCCTGATAAATTTAATAAATATATTTCAACAATATCAGTCGTGTTCAATGTTCAATTAAAATAATAGGACAGTTATGCATACTTGAAAATGTCTAAATATTCAAGCGACAAGAATTGTTATAATTGCAGAATTATTTAATCGAACTTGGCATGGAAATAATGCGATTGAAACGATTCTATAATCTGCTATAATTCTATGTCTCCTAATATGGATGTAATATGCTATTGATATAATGCTATTGATACAATTATTTCATCTAATCTGACATAGAAATGGTTCGTTCAAAGTAACTGCTCCAAATCACCTGAATACTCAAAAATTCAGCACCAGAGTTCGAGTGTTGCCGATTACATTATAATACAATTATTATTCAATGAAATCTGTCATTAGAAGAGTTCGGATTAAAACAATTTCACAGTATATATCAATACTTAAAAGTGCACTCTGACATTTAAGAATAATATTAAAGGGTTATTTAAGAGGGTTAATTAATAGAATTATTTAATGTAACTTGGCATAGAATTAATTCAATCAAAACAACTCTTTCAAATAAATCTGAACAGTGAAAAACGTACTAATTAACGTAACCTGACACAGAAATAGTTAAATACTCCATAAATTGAATACTTAAAAATGCACTGACGTTACACAAAAATGACAGCAACGCTGTTGCAATTATTTAATCAAACCAGACCTGGTAAAATAGCATTATTTATTTCAATTAATATATTTTATTCATTACGAATATTATGAAAATTTTATTTATTAAATGAATGCACTGTTTAAGATGATATTTATTTTATTTATGAAAACTTATTGTTCATTTTAATTCAATTGTTTTATTTATTATGAAAGTTATTGAATATTTTATTTATGAAATGAATGAAATTAGGAATGTCAGGATATTGATGACCGAAGCTAT